GGAAAACACCTTATTTTAAATCTTTAAAAATCCTAACACTGCCATCACTGTATATTCTGGAATCAGCAATTTTTGTAAAAAAGTATCCATTTCTTTTTCAAAAATTATCTACAATTAGAAAGAATCCAATGCGCACCCCATACGTTAATAGGTTATGTTACATAAAATGTGAACCATCACTTATGAAAAAAAGCTTTTTTGGTACCCCACGAATCTATAATAAACTACCTGATACAATAAAAAATATGAACTCATTTAAATTTAAGAAAGAGCTTAATGAATTATTAATAGACAAATGTTACTATAAAATTGACGAATTCTTGAATGATAATTTTGACTAATTATATTAACTTTAAATTATATCGACTAATTATATTATTTTGTTATTGTCATCTATTTAATTTTATCAATGTAGAATCTTAATTGCTGTTATATTTTCATTAATTTTTATTCTATTTTATTTTTATTGCATGATTCTCATACGAATACACACTTATATTTGTATGTCTTTAAGACAACATAGCGTACTACTGATTGTAACCCTCGCAAGACCTTCAAACCTACCTATGTTTGACAAATAAACTATTCTGATTCTGATTCTGTATCATTGAGTATATTATCATAAGTCCCTAATATAGGACAGCGCCCTCCTTTCTGCCAAGGAGGGTCGCGTTCGTATACGGCTTAGAGATCTCTCGTCAGATCGGTAAGCCAATCCATAAAGGTGGTGTTTAGTGGGTAAAAGTCGCCACATTACCATGCAGCCGGCTGCGTGGTATGCTATGAGCATTCACCGCCTCCCTCCCCCGCTTTCCGGAGGATTGCCCATATTTGCTTCGGGCGCAAAAAAAAAATAGGACTAGTCATAGTGCTACAGAACTTGCAGTCGGGATCCCGACCACCACATATATATGTACAACTGCAGGTATGTATCTCCGGCAGCTCCTCCATACAAGACATTTATACATTAACAACTTCCATAACGTAGACAATTTTTAACAAATTTTGTAATCATCTTATAAACGTTATTTATCTTTATTTTTATAATATTTTCGACTTGTATTTCTATTGTTTATCATGTTTTAAATATTTTTACAATTTTTTATAATAAATTTATTTATTATGGAAGACAATATTTTTGCCTTTAATTTACTATGTTATTGGTCTAATGTCTGAAATGTATTTATATTAACTTTATGCTTATTAATGTAATTTTATTGCTTAATATATACATTTTAAGACTATTTTTGATGCCCCCTTTATATTTAATTTAATTACTTAATAATAATATTAGGCCGTCACAATATGTACAAGAAAAAGCGTTGGTGATAGCACGCAGCCTTGTAGAATACCAGCATTAATAGGCTTATAATCGGAGCTTGCACCGTGTACAACGACCTTGATGCCCCGATCTGCAAGAAAGCTGGTGATCCAATTGCACAATTTCTCGGGAAGCACATAGGAAGAGAGCTTCGAAAGAAGTGCTTTGTGCCAAACCCGATCGAAGGCCTTTGCAATGTCCAAACTAACGGCCAATGCCTACCACTTGGAGTCTCTTGCTGCCGCCCATCTATGAGTCAGGTCGACCAGAAGATCACCAGCTGATCGACCATGACGAAAACCGTATTGGCGATCACTAATCAGCTGGTGATCCTCAAGGTACCTCATGAGCTAGCAGTTTACAATGGACTCCATTGTTTTGGATAACAAGGAGGTGATGGCGACGGGTCTGAAGTTGAATGGGTCCGAACGGTCGCCTTTTTTAGGGATCGGGTTTACGAAAGCCGTCTTCCATGATTTTGGTACGACGCCTAGGGAGTAAGAGTACCGGAAAAGACGTGTTAAGACTAGTGCCGACTGGAGCACACGTCCTCAGCACAATTGGGGGGATACCGTCAGGCCCACTCGACTTCTGGATGTCCAGGGAGAGGAGTGCTTTACGAACCGAGTGCTGTGTGAACCGCACCTCCAGCATGGAACACTCACACCGCGGGATGGTCGGCGGCATACTTCCCCCGTCATCGAGAGTCAAGTTGGACGCAAAGAAAGAGCCTAGTAGATCGGCTTTCTCCTTTGCGGCATGGGTCAGTGAGTCGTCCTCCCTGTGCAGAGATGGAAGAGATGGCTGACAGAAATCCCCTTGGACAGAATACACGGGTTCCAGAAGGAAGGTGAACTAGTTTCTCGCCGATTCTGCCTATGTGCTCTGACTTTGCCTTGGCAATGACTCTTTTGAAGGAGCTGGAAGCGGAATTATACTTCTTTTTAGAACGCTGGTATTTACATCCCGGAACGTTGATGCGTCAGCCCAGGCTTGGCAGCACTCCTGCTTATAGCGTGATGCATTTTACAGGAACGACCAAACCATGGCTGAGATTTGCCTCCGATGGGCACCACAGAGGAAGGAATAAAAAGTTCCATACCCTGAAGTACCACATCAGAGACAGAATAAACAACAACGTTGGAATCGTCCGGCGAGAAACAAATCCGCCCCCAAGGGTAGGATGGAAAGAAAGACCGCATCCCATCCCAATCATCTGAACTATAGTGCCAAACACGGCGGCAGCCTGCAGAATGCAACCGCGATTTCAGCGAGAGGCACCACACTCCGGACAAGACAATGGTCTGAAGAGCCTAAAAAGGCGTCCACGGAAATCTGATATCCGTCCGGATATCAGGCCAGCAGAAGGTCCAACAGGGAAGGTGCGTGATTCTCCACATCTGGCATCCGCATAGGCAAAGCAACCCGTTGTGTCAGACCATATGCCAAGGCAAAATCATGAACAGATCTATCTCCCCGCATGACCGGTAGAACGTAAAGCAAGCCATTCGGCGTGGTGGGCGTTAAAATCGCCAAGGATCATGATCTCTGCGGAGGGGATCTGCTGTAGCAACGAATCTGTAGCCATTTGGACTTGGTCGAAGAGTCGGTCTCTTTCGGCATTACCGCTATGGGACCTATAGAGGCACCCGTAGACGCGCGGATAGTCGTCGCTGTTTACGCGTAGCCAAAGGATGGACAGGTCCGAACCTTTAAGACTGTCGAGGCGTCTAAAACAGATGTCCTCTCTGACGTATACGCAAACTTCAGCCCGAGGCACAAAGGAGTGTTCCAGTTTGTATCCCGGGTAGGAGAGATACGAAGTATCAGCCGGGGAGGACACCTGCGTCTCGGTCAGAAAGAAGCAAAGCCGGCCTCGCCGTCTCGTTACCATCACGAGCTGGTCCCATTAGTTACCATACCAAGCCGATCTGGACGGCTTTTAGGTTAGAATGAAGTCCCCTGATATTGCAGAAATTCACGGATAGCGTGGCAGGGGTTGCATTGGTCTTGGTGGTTAAGGGCGATCTCTAAGTGTCCAGATCAAGTTTCTACGGGCGCAGTAGCTCTGCTGCTGTTCTACTGTGCTCTGCCATTCTCCATCCTTATTCACTCTAACTGTTATGACTTATGAGTCATTCAGTCTGCATCAGATTTAACTTTTTGGATTTTAATTTTTCATGGTTCAAGATAAACCAAATCTAATTTCATTTAGTACATTTGTAATAACGGGAGATTCATTTCTATTTTGAATAACTAGTAACATTTTGTCAGAAGTTCAGTATCCGATGTCCTCTCCGCGGTGATGCTCTAGGGCAGAGCCTAGTATACCTTATTATAAATCCATCACTTCATTCAGTAAATAATCGACTATAATCGTTGCGTTCACCTTGATGATTATCGTTACAATGGTGTTGACATTTTAAACCTTCCGCTTCCGCAATTTTCGTGAAAAAATTAAGAGGAAAACAATTTTAATTTATAACTAGTGGTCCATTAGTAATCTAAATTCCATCGTAATTCATAACATTTTTACACATATCTATGAAGTATGAACGTACACATTTTATTTTATTAATATTCAAATACAACATTATTTACAACAATATTTGTAACACATATCTATCTACCTATTTAATATAAATTTTAGCTCTCTGCACTTGTTATCCATATAAACTTAATCTCGCACTCGTACGTGCAATATGCTTAAAAAGGAGTATCTACAAAAATTTTGGAATATTCCGTTTACCCACCCAAAGAAATCCAACCTGAGATGTATACTACCTTTTTTCGCTAGTAATAAAATATATGTTTAACTTATTTTACCTCAGGGTCAGGGTCAGGCTGTTTGAGGATGAATAAACAGAATAACCCAAGTTTTCTTTTCACGTATTAACCCTTTCACAGCGAATCACGAGTACCGCTCGGCATTCGTATCAAGCGGCGCCTTAAAATGCTCCGCTGTGAAAGTGTTAATTTAATGATATATTATCTTACGTAAAAATCGATATAAATACACTTACGCTTTCGTCGATATAAATACACTTACGCTTACGTATAAAACTCCGATATTGATATATTTATAATTATCAATATAGCGAAAATTCAATATTTTAAAGATTATCAACAGTTTTAGTTTGAACTGATCAGTTGAACTGACCGTGTGTGGCGTCCATAAGTGTTGTAATTCAAAGCTGTAGAATTTTGAAATAAATGAATGAAAAAAAATACAACCTTTCAACTAAATTCCGGTAGGTTGACCTGAGAGTGAAGAAAATAATAAATCTTGAGCCACCTCATAGAAACATATATTAGATTAGCTTATACCAGCTCGCGTCGCTGTGCCCACGGATGTAAAATATCATATATTAGGATTGCCACAAGAGAATTCATAACATTATATCGCTTAGTCGGTTTCTTAGCGCCTCTTAACTTAGGGACTGAAATTTAACTGAACTGAAAGATCTTGTAGCTTCTGAAATTGTCGGTATTACAATCTCATTTTTTGCATCAGATGTAAAATATCTAAGAGTAACATCAGCTTTGAAGGAGCGAAATGTCTGTTGGAGTTATCAGTGCGCTTGGTAATATTGGTGATTATGGCAACACTTCCATAAGAGAAACGCTGCTGAGCTGTGAACATCTCTGCATATTTGTTATTATCATTATTTTTCAACAGGTCTACAAGTGCGTGCATTCCTCCGCGACCCGGCGAAGCTCTCCGATCACCTCAAAGATAAGGTAGAGGTTTTCAGTGGCGATATTCTCGAGCCCGATTCCGTCGCCAACGCGGTAGAGGGCACCGACGGCGTTGTTATTACCTTAGGCACCCGCGAGTCCATGGAGTCGACCTCCGATCTATCCGAAGGCCTTAAAAACATACTAGATGCAATGAGAGCCAAGAATGTGAAAAATGTAACCATATGCTTATCTGATTTACTCATTTGCGAGCCGAAAGAAGTACCTAAAGAGTATGGTGCGTTGACCGACGAACATAGGAGGATGTATCAAGTGTTGAAAGACAATGGCCAGAACTGGGTTGCCGTATTCCCTCCTCCAATTTTAGGTGAGTTACTTATTACACATTTAAATATCACAAGACAATAAGACCAGTTTTTACGTATTTTATTGGGTATATTAAGTTATTTTTTAAGTTAATATTCGTGATAACATCCGTAAAATCTATTTTTTATTGTTTTTGTAGTGTTGGCGTAAATATAATATAAAGTAAAAAATCTTGCACGGCTAATGATTTTTTAATATGGTTATTTTCTACCACAAGTGCGGCATAAAATATAAGATAAAAGTTTAATTTTATAACAAATAAATGGTACATTCCTTATTGTGACAAACAATCACACAGTCTACCTGATGGTAAGTGGATGCTGTCGCCCATAGACATCTACATCTATCCTCGATTACGAATCAAAATGCAGATGCGTTGTCACCCGTGAGGACTAAGATGGAATGCCTCGTTTTCAGTAAAAAGGGTCTCCGGTTCTCTACATACTCGTACCATTCGAAACACAGCAGCGTTAAGCTACTATTTTACGGTGGTACGAGTATTCTGTAAGAGCGTGGCCCTTTCCCGGTGGAGCAGACCCATTCGTGCTACAACTATACTACTAATATAACTGCAGCATGGCTCTAACACGTATAAAACTATTTAATAAAAAAGTATAATCAAATCGGTACAAAATTGACGGAGACATCAGTAAACACACGTAAAAAGAAATGCAAACAATCGAACATAGAACCTCCTCCATTTTTGAAGTCTGTTAAAATACAAAAATCAGTAAAGCTGACCAGTATTACACTGTGATACATTGTTGCTGTTGATTAACATACTTGGATCTATTTCGTTTTCGTTTTTTTAGTGTAATGGCGTCCATTACATTACACTACATATTACGTGATAGTCATCGATATATATGTACTACGCACTAGATATGGAATTCCGAACTCACTATGTTCAACTGAACTGTACTGCAATCCGTTCACCTGTTATTGTGGCTTCGATATTCGTGCAGTGCGGAGCGGCGCTAATAACAATTTTATATTAAATTAGCACATATGCAAAATAACCGAAAATAAATGTACTCGATTAACAATACAACCTAAATAAACAATTATTTTTTATGACAATTTTCCCGCGTTTATATCAACTGGGCATGCGCGACTCTACTGTTTCCTGCGCATACGTGGATACAGAGTAGGGCACACCGCACATTTTTTGATTTAGAATAGCTTCTTTAGTACTTAGTACATGTAACTCAAAGGTGATAGTGGTGACGCTACTGGTTGCTAGTTTTAAATCCGGAATGAAATGGCCACAAAATGATCATTAAATGGTTAGGGTGAATATGTTGCAAAAATGAAGTCACATATCTCAACCCCCCCCCCCTCAGTGCGTGCGGAAGGGAAGCGGATGGGATGGGAGAATGTACCGGCTAATTACTAGTTAGTAATTAATTTTTTGGATAGATGTACATGTCTCTGGGCCGCAGCAACCACTTATCATCAGGTGGACTGCGTGCTCGTTTGTCAACCTATTCTATAAAAAAAAAAAATTTAACAAAAATGCGAGGGTATTCGTTTTCCGCGCAACCAAATAGTGACCGGCATAATACATTACGATATAGTAGAATTGTAATTGCCCAATACGAATGTGTAGTGCATTACGCTCTTTTATTGCAACGAATAGTTGCGTAATCAACTGAACAAGTTGAACATCCATTCTCACTTTATTTTTAAATATAACATCTTGACGTGTTCTTAAACAAACAGCTCTTAAGTATTTTTTAAATAATCCTCTAAATATTTTGAAATTTAAATTAGGTATACAAATGATGTTGCCAAAAAACGGATTAAAATAAAAAAACGGATTTTTTATTTCTTATAGAATCATGATTTCTATCAAAGCTATCTAGAAGTATCAGCCATCTTTTGTTAAGCGGTAATTTATTGTTTTGTTTTTTGTTTGCAGAGTACCCCAGCCGTGAAATCATCGTGGAGATTAATCCACGGAAGTCACCCGGTGGGACCATCTCAAAGTGGGACCTCGGCGCATTCATGGTTGACGCTCTATTCGAGTCTAAGTACAGCAGAACCAACGTTTCGTTGTGCAATGTACCTAAACAATAGTGTTGTGGTTTTGTTACGGTAGATAAAATCTCACTCTCGCCGAAGTAGAAGAAACAATTTAATATTCAAATTTAAAATATTTATTGTAAGTTAAGTGTTATGTATTTGTCTTTTAACAACCCTTTTTGGATATTACAATACTTGTTATATTTTAAAGGCCATTTTATTTTTATGATTCATATATTAGATTAAACAATTAATTAAAAATAAAAATATTTTTAAAATGCAATAAAAAATACAGAATTGGATTTACTGTGGAGTATTTTACCTAATTTTGTAGTTATTCTTCCAAATTGTAAAAACGGCTTTGTACAAGTTATTTTTTTATATCTTATTAAATGGACGACATTTGTTTTAAGTACTTATATCCGATATATTGTATAGGTACTATATACCAGTTCGTATGGAGGTGGGATCCCTATTAAAAATTTATTGCACTTCTACATAAGGCCAAAAGGTATTAGGACCCGTCTCAAAAGCGAAGTTTCGTTTTTAATATATAGCATTTTTGGTCTATGATTTAGTGAATTTATAATATGATTGCCATACGTCCCGATATATCACACTCTCACAGAATATCAGCGTTAAATAGCAGAAGTGTTACGTGTGGTAAGTGTAAAAAACCGGAGACCCTTTTGACTGGAAACGAGGCATTCCTTCTTAGTCCTTAGGGTTGGTAACGCATCCGCATTTTGATTCTTAATCGGGGATAGATGTAGACGTTTATGGACCACGGCATCCACTTACCATCAGGTGAACTGTGTGCTCTTTTGTCACCTTATCCTATAAAAAAAACATTATTAAACTGTGCGAAAAAAAACCTAAATATGACCCAAAGCTACCTTTAAAAATTTACGAATTTGCTTATAATCTCAAATGTGACTAAAGAAGCTAGTAAAGAAGAAGTATCAGTGACATTATTAGTTATAAAAAGGAAAAAGCAGATGAAGGTATATACTTGAAAAAGATTTATACGCATTAAAAAAAACCATACAATTCTTAAAAGTTATATGTTTCAAAGTGTAAATTAGATTTATTTTTTAAGGATATTTTTTGCTCAAGTGGAATTACATTTAGGCGTTTTGTGAACTTTGTGTATAAGACAGAGTCGGTAGTTAAAGCTAGTAAACGCACTTCATAATGATTAAAAGTATATCTGAAAAATTTACCTTGGCTAGTTTTAATTGCTTTTTCGTCTCGCGGTCAATTGATGACATTCGGAACATTTGTGGAATATCAGATGTAGTCGCGCTTCAGGAAACATGTCTGCTCCCTCATGACGTACCACTGTTAGGTGATATCTCCAGTGACTTTCAATACACAGGTAAATCGGCCGTTCGGATACGTTGCCATTCTGGAGGGCATTTTTGACAGCGTTACTGTGTTAGATTGCAGTTTAGTGCCCGTTTGATAGGTATAAGAGCCACCATAGAGAAGCGCACTGTTGTCTTTTTCTCAGTGTATATGCCTACTGACTCGTTGGTCAAGCTACCTATCCTCAAAGAGGTGTTAGGTGAATTAGACGCAATTGGTGAAAGCGTAAATGTTGAGAGTATTTTTACTTGGTGATTAGAAAGTATTTTTACTGGGTGATTTCAATACGCACCCACATGATCTGTTCTATAATGAATTAATTGGTTTTTGTTCTGATCAGAGTTGGATGTGCGCTCATATAGAAAAATTTGGCCTGCAGTCTAACGTGTGCACCTACTTATGTTAGCGCGGCGAACGGGTGCAGGCGATGGCTGGACTCGGCCTGGCATTCCGTTGTCGAAGTGGAGGTCATAGAAGACGTCTTTGTGTCTGATCATTTACCCTTAATAGTTAAATGTGACTTAAGAATTGTTAGGCTTAAATTGTTAGCACGCGACTTGCATCATAGCTCAGTAATATGGGAGAAAGAGATTAGAAACAAATATCTAATTATCAAGAACTCTGTCACAATAGACTACGTGAGATTGATTTCCCCGCGGAGTTCACAGAACGCAGTCGCGGATTATGCGGTTTGAATGAACACAGGGGGGTGTTAAACCGGATGTTTGACAGCATTGCACGTGCCTTGAGTGACGCGGCTAGCAAAACCAAGAAAAAAGCCTTGTAACAAGCCAAGTAAAAACAGACACCTCTGTGGCTGGAACAAACATGTTCAAGAGTCACATCGGGTGGCCAGGCTTAACTTTAAGATATGGTTGTCGTACAATAGGCCATCATCTGGTAGGATCGATGGAAGATTGACGTCTTCCAAGCTCTTCAACACGTATGTAAATGACCTTATCGTGGAGTTGAGCAGCACGCGCGTCGGATGTCACATAGATGGCGTTAGCATTAATAATATGAGTTACGCTGACGATATGGTGCTGCTCAGCCCAACGGTGGGAGGCCTAAGAGAAATGTTAAAGGTATGTTAGAGGTATGTTACTGAGCATAGGCTCATATACAATGTCAAAAAAAAAACAGAGTACATGGTATTTGAGGCCGCTGGTAAATGTCACAACATTGCAGATAATGTTACCCTTAATGGCATGAACGTGAAACGTTATAAATATCTGGGACATGTTATAACAAATGACCTCAAAGATAATGCCGACATTGGAAAGGAGCGCAGGGCTCTAGCGGTTAGATGTAACATTATGTTAGTTCGCAAGTTTTCCTGTTGCACAGGTAAACAGGTAAACCTTGACCTCATTGGAGACTTAAAATTTCTGTAACTTACAATTTGATCGAGCGTATATAAAGATCTTATATGCATATAAGATCGTTATATCACTTATAACCGTTTACTTGATCTCGTTTTATCCAACGACTACGTTAAAGTCGAAAACTGCCAAGATCCCTTGGGAGACCAGCATCACAATGCTTTACCAATTTGTGTTAACTTTGTCGAGCTTTAGCCCCTTCCATACTCTAAAGATGTCTCATTCTCTAACAACAATGGCAATTATGATATAAAACTGAGAGATAGGTTCGACTAATTGGGACGAAATTCTTAGTAATGGTAACATTGATGATGCGGTCAATACTTTTTATAACATAATACGTAATATCTGTGATAAACTGATAAATATGTTCACCCGTCATTTAAACGCAAAAGAAAATATCAACTATTATTTAAAAGAATATAGGTTATTGCACCCGACAGAATCGTAACCAGATCAGAAAAATATGATTCATTATCATTATCAATCCTAGATCGCAGCTATTGTCTCAATACGATCCACTGGCGGAGAATTTTAGCACCGCAATTCAGAAACGGATTCATTTGTGCAACGCCATCTACTACGGTTGTCAGAAAACATAATTGTTTAGTTTAAGGAAAACATATTCTTTTTTGCGTTTTAAGTATAATTACATCAGTGATATTATTATAGAACGTAATTTTACACACTAATAATTTTATTATTATTTCCGAGATTTTATGGCGCCGTTGAATTAATTCGAACCTATTTTTTGATTTAATTGAAAAAAAAAATGTTTACTTGATACCGAATAAATTTATAAAGAAAGTTACCGACAATCCTAAAAATTATAAATGTTTTTATTTGCTTATTTTCAGTCCTCTTAATGATTTTTGTTACAAATACTTAAAGAGTAATATATAGTAATATATAGTATATAGTATAGATACAGGTAATAGGTATATAATTTTAAAGAGAGATGGCGTTGTTAACATCAATCCTAAAAATAAAAGGAAAATCTGACGCGATTGATACATTATATAAAATACTTATATCAGAACTTTTAAATCAGTGCCTGCGGAACAAATCACTCCTACAGTAGCATAGGCAAAGAAGAAAGTTCGATCCTAGCTGAAACCAACGTAATGAGGGCAAATAATCTTACGCTCACCAGATGTCGCTAGTTGACATTGAGGTGAAGTTTTTTGTTACACAATGTCATTTAATTGATAATTTTGTTTTTAATAAAAGTTTATCAGTTCCTAGTGTCTATATTACCCAAGCAGCATGCAAGCTGTATACGAGCAGTATTGAAGTTCCATTTTATACTACAGGCTGCAGTTTCTTGCTATACAAAGACTGTATAAGCGCTTATACAGCTCTTATAAATTAAAAATGGCACAAATTATACAGCTTTAATCGTTAGTACCGCTGTACAGTAGCTGTACAAGCATAAAAGAGGCTGTATAATAGCTGTATTACAGCAGTTATTTGGTGTACAATAATACTATTACACTACAGATATTACCTTATAAGTATCTATTAAAGATTCTAAATTAAAATACGTTGTAATAAAAAACGTTCTAAATTGGGGTTTGAACGGAATTACAAATGAATTTATGATAAAAAGAACTTATTAGATTGATTTATATACTTTATTTAATGATGGCGACATTTAGTGAGTGAAAGATTATATTACATGTTAACGTTACTCGGATTGGAGTTGAGTTTTGACGGTGATAACTGGCGAATTAAAGTGCAAAATTAAATTGACGGTAAACTTGTATATGATTTCTATCAAAATATCACCGCGCCAGCAAAATAAAGAAATAATATAAGGACAAAATACACAATACTGATTGTGTCGGTTAGAATAAGAAAGTAATTAAATTAGTGAATATGAATGCACATTGGGGCACATTGATCTTTAATAAAACTGAGATAATGGTATAGGGTAAAACTAATGTCTCATATCCCTAAACTTACAATTTAAATTTTGTTTTTATAGGACTCAAAATGGCGACAATTTGCCAAACAGCCTAAACGATATTTTGAGGGTCTTACAGTGTTAGCAGCTGTACTATATATGTTATGGGTTCTATCATACAACCATTAGTTTTTAATCAGTTGTATAATAGAATATTTTTATTAATTAAGCTGTATAGTAGTTTTTAAAATATCCATGTCTTTAGAGATACGCACAAAAGATGAAAAACCTTTGTCTTAGGTACAACACTTTTATCCCTTCTTCGCTTTATCTCATTTAAATAATAATATTTTAATATGTAAGGCCACGAAGGTAAATTTTATGACAGAATGTTTTAT